CCCCAATCATAAACACAGTTTAGGATACAAAGAAGCCATATCAGCTAAGCTATAAAAATTAAAAACACTTGTAATTTCATGATTGCAACTTTAAGTTTCATGTCTCTTTCGAAGTATAAAGAACAAGTTCCTAGCAAATTCAATCTATAATTAAAAAAGATATAACTCAAAAGTCTGTCATGCATAAAAATAACACAAAATTATCCTACTAAGCAACCTGACCGTTACTTGAGGATGAAACAGGAATGTTGATACCTGTAATTTTTATAATGCTGTTTGCTTGTTGTCATGTGCCATGCCACAGCGACTCTATGTACAACAGCCATAAACCCTGTTCTGTCCTGTGCCAACCCTACTGTCTCCGAAAGACATACCCCCATTACCCCAGTCGCTAGAGGGTCTTCTTCTCCTGAGCCATCCCTCCACCCTCCCAAGCATGACGTCCCTCTCCAAGGACTGGTCCCTCCTTGCAACATGTCCAAAGCATGTCAGACAAGCTTCAGAATCCTTGCCTCCAAGGAGTAGCCTGGTTTAACCCTCTCCATGACGAACCTGTTCATTTTCTTAGCAGTCCATGGTATTTTCAATACTCTTCTCCAGCATCACAGTTCAAAGGCATCAATTCTCCTTCTATCCTCCCTAGTCATTGTCCAGCTCTCTGATGCATAACAAGTGATTGCAAAGACCATAGCCTGAATCAAGCACACCTTAGTCTCCACAGTGACACTATTGCTCTTCAGCCCTTTGGAGAGGTCCCTAACAGCAGACTTTCCCATTGCAAATATGCCTTTTAATTTCCTGGCTGCTGGTGCCAAGAGTGTTGACTGTGGAGCCAAGCAAACTAAAGCTGTTAACAATCTAAATCTCTTTGCCATCCATCCTGATGGTGCCAATTGGCCCAGTGGTGAGAATCTTTGTCTTGATATTGAGTCTCAATCCTACAGTCCTTGACCTTCTGCAGCAATCACTTCAGGTTCTCCTCAGTTTCAGCAAGCAGTGTTGTGTCATCTGCATAACGCAGATTGTTGATGAATCTTCACCAACCCTGAAGCTACACTTCTCCTCATACAGCCCGGCCTCCCAGATAATCTCTTCCGCATATAGGTTAAAAAGGTACAGAGATAGGACACATCCATGGTGTACACCCCTCCCAATTTTGAACCATGCAGTGTTTCCTTGCTCTATTCTGACGACTGCCTCCTGGTCCAAGTATGGAACAAATTTAAAAATACTACTAAAGCGTTCCTGTTTAGTTATCACCTGGAAATTCATATTTTCAACTAAACAAAGCAAATAAAATGAAACAGAAGTGAGCATGAAAATGACTTATCTACAGTGAATATACTGTATGTGTTAAAAGCAAGTATAAGCTGTTCGGATACACAACACTCTTAACAGCGGTCAGGAAGTCAAAAGACAAATTGCACTGGGAAAATCTGCTGTCATGGACCTCTCCAGAGTGCTGAAGAGCAATGATGTCAGTCTAGAGACAAAGGTGCACCTAATCCAGGCCATGTTCTTCACAATTACTTGTTAAGCTTCAGTGTTGGACAATGACTAAGGAGAAGAATCAATGCCTTCAAGTTGTGGTGCTGGAGAAGTCTTGAACATACTACGGACTGCCAAGAAAACAAATCAGTCTGTCTTGGAGAGAGTGTAAACAAGTCTCTTCTTGGAGGCTAGGATTTTGAAGCTCCATCTCACATACTTTAGGCACGTGGCCAGGAGATACTTATCCTTGCAGAAGGACATCATGTTTGGAAGGGTGGACAGATAGCACAGGAGAGGGAGACCCCAGAGGAGATGGACTGACAAAGTAACTGGCGTGATGGGGGTTGGTGTGCCAGAATTAGTGAGACTGGCTCAGGACAGGAAAGGGTTCAGAGCTGCTGCACATAGCATTGCTATACATTGCAGGTGATTCATTGGCACATAAAAACAGTAACATACTATGACAGGTTTAGAAGCAGGAGTGGCATCCACTTCCTAAACAACATGCCTCTGGAACCTCTATGAACTTTAATAAATGTCGATAGTTGTAGAGGGGCTTCAAGCCTTTTGTTTCACAGGGTCACTATAAGGCATGCTTGACTCGAAGGCAATCAACAACAACAACAACATTAATATATAATACTAACAAAAAAGGTAAACTATACTGTAAACTTTACTACATTTTTTTTAAAAAATAGGATAAGTAATGAATAAAAATATTCTTCAGTACTAAATGCTTTTTTCTTACCGCTCAAATCTTTCAGTTGAAATTTGTCTTTTCATAGCATCATACTCCATATGCAATTCTGCCACTTTAGTTCGAAGTAAGGCATTCTCCCGGCTTTGGCAACTTCTTTAAAACACATTTAAAAAGAAAAAAAATAAGTAAGAAACATTCTGTTTTGAAGACACGTATTATATATTTTTGTCTTTGTGATTAATCAAATGGAGAAGATGGTTAAGGATAGAAAAACAGAGGATCCAAACTTTTCCTAGTAGTCATTCTCTAAGCTTTGGAAAGTTTCTATTACAAACTTTCCTTTTCCTTCATCTGGTTCATTTAACAAAGATTAACTGAGCTCTTACTATGTGATAGACACTGTAGTTATTCTGCAAATGTGAACAGCACAGGAACTGTAACATTAGGATTTAAACTATCTTTATCTTCTTTGACTTTCACCTGAAAATATCTAAAGTATACTAAGATACACACACCCACCTACCCACACACATACTAGTTAAAACCATAAGATTTACAGTTATGCCTGGAAAGAAAATATTTTTCTCTTTAACTGCCAATTCAACATTCTAGTGTTATTCACTCTAGATTTTCTCCCCTCTCCCAACATCTGTAACCAAATTTCTCCACCCTAAAGAGACACCAATATTCTGAAAGGTAATCAACACTTTCATGAGGATAAGATCTCAAGGCATTCTCTGAGCATGACTTCCTGAACCACTTTCTCCTGACCTTTCTGCTCATCTCTTAAGTTTGGGCATTTTTCTCATGTTCACACTGTCATTCACCTCTGTTAGTCCACCTGATGCTAGAGATGTCCAAATCTATTATCTCCAAACATGATGCTTCTCTCGAACTACTCTAAATTTCCAAAAGCAACAAAACACTTCAATTCAAATGTTTTCATTTTATATCACCTGCCCCACTCCCAACTCCTTCTGCACTTATTCCACTTCCTCCCAAAGGAAATGGAATAATTTCCGGCAAGTTATTTTCTTCACACACCCCTGCTTGTTGAAAGTGAAGAGGACTTTGATCTACAATCAATACCCAGGATAACAGTGGTAAAGAAATAAAAGTTATGCTGCATTGGGAAAATCTGCTGTCAAGGACCTCTCCCAAATGCTATGGAGCAATGATGTCAGTTTAAAGACTAAAGGCATGCCTGATTCAAGCCATGGTCTTTTCAACTGCTTCTTATGCATCTGAAACTTGGAGAATAAATAAGGATGACAGAAGACGAATTAGTGTCTTTGAATAGTACTGTTTCAGAAAAGTACCAAATATTCCATGGACTGCCAAAAGAACAAGCAAGTCTATCTTGGAGGACATGAAACCAAGGTGCTCCTTACAGGCAAGGATGGTGAGACCTTATCACACATACATTGGGTACATTGTTAGGAGAGGCTCATCCTTAGGAAAAAACATCATGCAGGGAAAAGTGGAAGGTCAGAAAAAGAGAGGAAGACCCCTCCAGAGGGACTCCCACAATAAGCTTGGGCATGACAGATCTTGAGGCTGGTATAGGATAGAGCAAGGTTCAGGCTGTTCATAGGATCACCACTGAGTCATAGCTGACCTGATGGGACCTAACAACAACAGTAATTTTCCTCACACAGGCTGACCTATGGTACTTACAATTTGCTTTCTGCCAGGGTTAGCTTCTCTTTTAGTAATTGGATTTCTGTTTCCTTCTCATGGGAGGAGATATGAGAATGGAACTCTTTATCTCTATTGGAAGCTAGTAATGATTCAAGGTTTTTAACTGTACATCTCTCACTTGTTAGTTGTTTTTTCAATAGCTCTGTCTCTGATTTTGCATTTTCCAATTCCATCATAACCTTTAAGAAAAAAAATCAAGTAACATTACTTTGGCATCATTTTATAGTTATTCTTGGAAATTCTTTATTTTAAAACTGAGTTCTGTAGCACTATATACACATCAGTTGCTTTGTTTTGAATATTGGTAAAAGATTCTGATCCACTTCCTTAACTAAAAGAAAATGTCTTCTGTTCAGACTATTCTTTACTTATGCATAACTTACCATGCTGCTAAAAGGTCAACAATTTTGAATCTACCAAGTCATTTCATGGGAGAAACTGGATAGATGCTTGCTATGAATCAGAATGCTTCTGACAGTATCTTTTTTTCACTAAATGTTTACTAGTTTTAACTGTAAGACATATTATTCGTCTTCACAGAGTTAACAAATCTTAAAATGTGGCCAACTACAGGGAAGTGAATTACTCCAAATGGCTCATCTAGTTATAGTCTTTCTCTACACAATGATTTGGTAGGACTATGTAAATAAGGTATATGTGGCTTAGCAAAGGCAATGGACAGCCTGCTAATAACACAAATATGGTATATGGAACCCATAAGAGGGAGATCATGCAAACAAGGCATACAGAACTCTAGCAAGGGACTAGTCAGTTTTGTTATCAGGCTAGGTGTAAAGGCAATTTCCAAATATATATATGTATTTGTTCTTACCCTCTCATATTCAAGATTTTTGGAATTCAATTGTTGGGTCATGATATCCTTTCCTGAATCAAGCTTAATGCAAAGTTCACGAAGAGATGATAAGTCATTTAATACTGATGCCTTTTCTTCTTCTTGACTTCTAAGGTCTCCTTCTAACCTCGACATGGCTTTTGCCATTGAGGAGATCTGAGATTCGTAAGCATGGTGTGCATTTATGTGCTACAAAAAAAAAGAGGCACGTGAAAAGTTAACGCAATAAAAACAGGTAAGCCAGTAACTTTATGAATCTCAGCAACTATAACTTCATTTAATAAAAATAGGAAAGTTATTATTTGCTCGTCAGCCATTGAAAGATGACCTGCTACAGTGCTTTATAAAAGGAATTAATCATGCCAAGTTCCTTAATATATTTGGAAGATACAAAGATGAAAATTGTTGTGGTCACATATTGTTAGGAGGAGGGAATTCTGAAACTATTCAGTTTTTCCATTATCATTTCTTTTTGTTATGATAATGCCTTTTCAAGAAAGAGTAACATATAAATCCCTTTACACTTGCTTTTAGTGTAAATTTAGAATTTACATTAATTCTGAATTTGTTGTTATGTGCCATCAAATCAACTGCAACGCACAACAACCCTACGCATAACAGCTCTGAACCGTGCCCTGTCCTACTGCCATAACTAAGCCAGTTTCACTGCCTCTGACACACCTGTCCCCATTACCCCCAGTTTCTGTGTTACTCCATCTCATTTGAGGTCTTCCTCTCCTGTGCTGGTCCTCTACTCTTCCAAGCATGATGTACTTCTCTGAGGACTGATCCTTTCTGGCAACATGCCAAAAATATGTGAGGAGGAGTTTCAAAATCCCTGCCACCCAGGAGCAATGCAGTTTCACCCTCTCCAGGACAGACCTGTTTTTCTCTTTTGGCAGTCCATAGTACGTTCAAAATCCATCTCCAGTACTACAATTCAAATGCCGCAATTCTTCTTCTGTCATCCTTAGTCACTGTCCATGTCTTTGATGCATAGCAAGTAACTGCAGTGACCATGGCCTGGATCAGGCACACTTTATTCTCCAGACTGACATATTTGCTATTTAGCCCTCTGGAGAGGTCCCTGACAGCAGATTTCCCCCAGTGAAATTTGTATTTTGATTTCTTTACTGCTGGTGCTAAAGGTGTTGACTGTTGAGCTAAGCAAGGTGAAATTGTTAACAGTCACAGTCTCTTCCCCATCTATCATGGTGCTGCCAATTAATTGGTCCAATGGTGAGAATCTTTGTCTTCTTGATATTGAGCTTCAATCCATATTGAAGATTGCAGTCCTTAAACTTTTGCAGCAAGTGCTTCAGGTCCTCTTCAGGAAGAAGGCTGTCTCATCTGCATAAAACAGGCTGTTGATGAGTCTTCCTCCAATCCTGATGCCACTTCCTCCTCATAAAGCTCAGCTTCCCGAATATTGGTTCTGCATATAGACTGAAAAGGTATGGAGACAGGATGCGTCCCTGACGTACACCTTTCCTGATTTTGAACCAAGCGGTGTTGTCTTGCTCTGTTTGGATGACTGCTTCCTGGTTCAAGTAGAGGTTTCACATGAGAACAATCAGGTGTTCTAGGATTCCCATTTTTCTCAAGGTTAGCCACAGTTTGTTGATATCCACTCAGTCAAATGCCTTTGCATAGTCAATAAAACACAGACAGACATTCTTCTGGTACTCCCTGCTTTCAAGCTTGATCCATCTGACATTGGTTAGTGCCTCTTCTACACCCAGCTTCAGCTTGCACTTCTGGTAGTTCTGTGTTGATGTACCGTTTCAGTAGTTTTTGGATAATTTTCAGCTGGATTTTGCTTCCATGTGATATTATTGATACTGTTCAGTAATTTCCATACTCTCTTGGATCACCTTTTTTTTGAATGGGTATAAATATGGATATCTTCCAGTTAGTTGGCCAGGTGGTTGTGCTCCAGATTTCTTGGCACAACCTGGTCAGCACATCAAAGGCAGAATCTTCTTGCTGAAACATGCCAATTGGTATTTCATCAATTCTTGGGGCCTTGTTTCTTACTAATTCCTTCAGAGCAGCTTCAATGTCTTCCTTCATCTTCACTGCCTCTTGATCATATGTTGTTTCTTGAAATGCTTCTTATCAGCCAATTCTTGTTGATACAGTGCATTCCTTCCATCTTCTTTTAATGCTTCCTGGATCATTCAATATTCTGCTCACAGGATCCATAAGTATTGCTACTAAGGGCTTGAATTTGTTCTTTAGTTCCTTTTTAAGTTTATGTGCCAGTTTAAGAAACTCTAAGCGAGTTCATCCTTTTTGATTTTCTGACTCAGCTCTTTGAACATTTCATTCTAATATTTTGCTTTGTTTTCCTGAGCTCCCCTTGAAATCTTCCATTCAGTTCCTTAAATTTCCTGATTTCTTCCCTTTGCCTTGGCTTATCAGCTGCATTCTAGTGCAATATTCAGAGTGTCCTGTGACATCCAACTCGGTCTTTTCTTCCTCCTCTGTCTTTGTAATGACCTGCTGCATTCTTCCTAGATGATAATTCTTGAAATCCTCCCACAGCTCATCCGGTCTTCATTCATTGGTGTTCAAGGCCTCAAATATATACCTGAGATGATTTTTAAATTTATGTAGGATAGACTCAAGGTCAAAATTTTGTTCTTATGGATTTGTTTTAATTTTCTTTGGTTTCAGTTTGAACTCACATATGAGTAGTTGATGGTCTGTTGCACAGTAGGCACCTAGCCTAGTCTTCACAACTGATACTGAGCTTCTCTAGTGATTCTTTCCACAGATGTAACCAATCTGATTCCTTTGGTAACCATCAGGTGACATCTTTTTCTACAGTTGATGTCTGTGTTTCTTATAAAAGGTATCTGTAATGAATAAAACACTGATTGTACAAAATTCCATCATTCTATCTCCAGCCTTATTTCTGTCACCAGGTATATGTTTTCCGACTACAGAAACTTCTTCTTTGTCCCCATATTTTGCATTCCAGTCACCCATAATTACTATTATTAATGCATCTTGGTTGTATCAAAGAAGGAATTTCAGGAAATTGCATTTTATTCCCTTGAATCTTCAGATGAATTTTAAACTGCAAATATCTAAAATCCATGAGGGTAGCACTTGGTTCTAAATGAAGAACCAAAACTGTAAAACTACTATTAGAAACTGTAACAAAATCTTTGTAACCTAGGAGTAGGCAAAGAATTCTTAAGTAGATGCTAAATTAGCTAACAAAAGGTTAAAGTACTCTCTGGCTAACAAATGGCTGGAAGTTTGAGTTCATTCTTAGGCACTCTGGGAAACCTAGAGATCCACCCTGAAAAAAATTAGCTCCTGTACAGAGCACAGTTCTCTCTGGAGATGGAATCAACTCAAAGGAAATTTAAAAAAAATGCTTATCGTAAAGTAAAACAGATAATTAAAATTTTGAAGTCAGGTTTCACTAGTTTTTTACATTAATATAAGCAATTTTTTTTTAATTCACTACTAAGGATAGAAGGAGAATTGACGCCTTTGAGCTGTGGTGCTGGAGAAGAGTACTGAATGTACCATGGACTGCCAAGAAAACAAACAGATTCATTGTAGAGAGGATTAAACAAGGCTGCTCCTTGGAGGCAAGGATTCTGGGGCTTCGCCTGACATACTTTGGACATGTTGTAAGGAGAGACAGGTCTTTAGAGAGGGACATCATGCTGGGTAGAGTAGAGGGACAGTGCAGGAGGGGAAGATCCTCTATGAGGTGGATTGATTCAGTGACTGGGCTAATAGGGATGGGTGTGTCAGAGGCAGTGAGATTGGCACAGGATAGAGCAGGGTTTAGGGCTGTTGTACATAGGGTCGCTATGAGTCGCAAATGCTTTGATGGCACATAACAACAACACTAAGGAAAAGCAACCACAGATTAGAATATTCACTATCTATATCTTTGTCTATATATGCAACAAGTACTTTCATTTAGTATTAAACTACGTAGTAAAAAGAAAGCTCACGTAAATAAAATAAGCAACAAATATGAACACATACTCCCCAGAAGATGCACAAATTGTGAGTAAGTATATAACAAGATGCTAAATACTGCTAGTGACAAAAAAATACAAACTAACACCACACAGAGGTACCATTACACACTAAAATTTATGTCAGATATGGGTTGAAGATTTGGAGGTACTACAACTCTCATGTGTATTCATTGCTCGAAAAAATGTAAAATGGTAAAACTTCACATTTTTACTTAAAAAGAAAGTCCGATAGTTCATTTTTTGCTTGTTTTTAAGTCAGAAAGGTAACGTGCCCATGTTGTAACAAAGTTTAAAGGTTGCATATGTCATACAAAAGCATGAATACCCAATCATCATGCTCATGAACCAAAAATGAATTTCATAACTCCTTTTAAAGCTAAATATATTATGACAGCAAATACTCAAATTGTAAGCCCCCCTTAAAATCTCTGTTAACACTTAAAGCAGCTCTACTCATAATGGCCTCAAACTGGAAACAACCCAAATTACCTGTCAACAGGTACATGAATAAACAAATTTTGTGATATAATCACCCAGCAGAATACAACTTTATAAAAATAAGATAACAAACTTCTGATTCATGCCAATATGGATTAATTTCAAAAACATTATGCTGTGGCAATATGAAATTTCCGAACAAAAAAGACCAATCTTCAGTGAAAGAAAGGTCGCCTGGAGGGGGTGGTGGTGAGAGCACTGACTGTAAAGAGACACTAAGAAATGTCTTGTGCTGACTGGCTTTTTTGTATCTTGATAGAAGAGTCCATGGGTATATAAATAGTTGTCAGAACTGAACATATTTTACACTTAAAAGGGGCATACTTTACTGGATGAAAACTGTATGTCAATAAAGTTGATTTATTAAAATATTAAAGCTAAAAATCTCTACTCCTCTGGTAAAGTTAGTAAAAGAGATGGACCAAAAACATGACAGTAACTAAATTAACAAGGGAAAGTTCCTATTAAAATGGAAGGAAGCTCTAAGCAGGAAAAAAACCACAGATAAGGAACATCCTATTAGAACAGGTGAAGGGTAGGTCAATCTGAAATACATGGACAATCAGACATTATATGTATTGCAATTAACAATCTGGAACAGGAGATGTAAAACTGATGGAATAAGGGGAAGAAAGAGGGGGTGAAGGCTAAGGAGAGGTCTATGCACAGATATAAAAAAATGTGGAGGGCTGGCCCCAAAAGAGGAGGGAGAGGGAGCAGAGATTAGCAAATGGGTGGGTAAGGGCAGGGAAAGCGGGCACAGTGGGATTTTAAAATGATGATGTAAATAATGGCATTATAAAACTGTAATTGATGCTGTAAGACAAAGTGTATATGAGTGATTGACTGAAAACCACTGGGGGGGAAAATGTACTAAGGCTCTTAAGAAAATGATCAGAATCAATGAAAAATGTACCATTACATCTTGATTCTATCAGTGCAGACATAGGTTACCTGAGCATTGTGTTTTTGATTACTTTTTCTTAAATCCTCACAAGTTAAAATAAAAGCATTACCTCCTGAATTTCTTTTTCCAGCAGGTCCACCCTTTCTCGAAGGTGTCTTCTCTCCGTATCAATAGAAAGAAGTTCAAGTCGAACTGAGCTGTTTTCTCCTTCAGCCTGGTGAGCTTTTACCTCCCAGTCTTCCGCCTGGTTATGAAGCATTTGAAATCGATCTAACAAATCTTGATTTTCCTTTTCCTGGTTTAAATAAAATGATATTGTTTCTAAATTAGTAACTGTCATTCATTATGACACACTGTTTCAAACACACCATATATTCTGTGATTTTTTGTTCTTGAAAAAGTGTAAGCGGCCTGTACAGACACTATACTACTATAGGTAGTAGGCGAGGTCTTCCCTTCCAAATGTTTAAAATCTAAGAATGGGGGAGAAAATCAAAACACACAAAACTTTTTAAAAAATGTCAACTTGAAATAAAAAATATATTTTTCACCTTACTAGCCATTAAGCTCTCCCATCGTGACACCTCAGTTATGTAATTATGAACTCTATTTTTCATTTCCTCTTTTTCTTGCACTGCTGCTTCCAATTCCAATGAGATTTCCTAAAAATCAAAATAATTGAGGACAAAAATAAAACACAGTACCTAATAAGTTCTGTTCCTATTAAAAGAACTCTTTAGAATTAGGGTCATATTAAGGGGGAAAAGGGAAAATTTGCTATGTTTTAATTTCTTAGTTGAACTTATCTTTTCACCCAAACTTTACATCTCCAATGATGTTCTACACAGTCACACTAAGGGCTAGAGTTGACATTTTTTTTTTGCTCCTAATATCAGAATGCTGTTGTTGATTACCTTCAGTCAAGCACAACTCAGAGACTCTATGTACAAAATGCCTGAAGTCCCTCTACAACTATCGACATTTACTAAAGTTCATAGGGTTTCTAGAGGCAAGTTGTTTAGGAAGTGGATGCCACTCCTGCTATGCTTAATAATTAATAATACTGTAAAGAATTTTTTTTAAAAATTTATTATTTTTTATGTGTACTGTCAAACTTCAATGAAACACAGACATTCTTCTGGTATTCTCTGCTTTCAGCTAAGATCCATCTAACATCAGCTACAATATCCCTAGTACCACGATCCCTTCTAAACCCAGCCTGGACTTCTGGCAGTTCTCTGCTGATGTGTTGCTGTTCCAGTCATTTTTGGATAATCTTCAGTAGAATCTTGCTTGCATGTGAAATCAATGATATTGTTCTGTAGTTTCTGTACTCAGTTGGGTCGCCCTTCTTTGGGATGGGAACAAATATAGACCTCTTCCAGTCAGTGGCCAAGTGGTTGTTCTCCAGATTTCTTGGCACAACTTGGTGAGCACATCCACGGCAGCATCTGTTAGCTGAAATATGTCAATTGGTATACCATCTATTCTGGGGGCCTTATTTTTTGCTATTTCCTTCAGAGCAGCTTGAACTTCCGCCTTCATCACCATCGGCTCTGGCTCAAATGCTATTTCATTAAATGCTTCTGCATCTGCCAATTCATTTCGGTACAAGGACTCAGTATATTCCTTCCATCTTCTTTTGATACTTCCTGGATTGTTTGACATTCTGCCTAAAGCATCCTTGATTGTAGCAACTCGAGGTCGGAATTTGCTTTTCAGTTCCTTGAGCTTAGGAAATGCTGAACGAGCTCGGCCCTTTTGATTTTCCAACTCTAGCTCCTCGCACATTTCATTGTAGTATTTTGCTTTGTCATTCTGTGCTGCCTTTTGGAATCTTCTGTTCAGCTCTTTAGTGTTTTGGATTCTTCCTTGTGCTTTGGCTTCTCTACGTTCCAGTGCAATCTTCAGAGTTTCCTCTGACATCCATTTTGGTCTTTTCTTCCTCTTCTGTCTTTGTAATGACCGCTTGCACTCTTCCTGGATGATACATTTGACATCCTCCCACAACTCATCTGGTCTTTGCTCATTAGTGTTCTGCGTAGATCATAACAAATTGCGGCTGACTCTGAGAAGAATGGGAATCCCAGAACATTTAATCGTCCTAATGCGAAACCTATACTTGGACCAAGAGGCAGTCGTCAGAACAGAGCAGGGCAACACTGCATGGTTCAAAATTGGGAAGGGTGTACATCAGGGATGTGTCCTGTCTCCATACCTTTTCAACCTGTATGCAGAGCAGATTATCCGAGAGGCGGGGCTCTATGAGGAGAGGCGTGGCGTTAGGATTGGTGGACGATCTATCAACAGTCTGCGTTATGCAGATGACACAACCTTGCTCGCTGAAACTGAGGACCTCATGCACTTACTGCAGAGGGTCAAGGACTGAAACTGAGGAGGACCTCATGCACTTACTGCAGAGGGTCAAGGACTGCAGCCTTCAATATGGACTGAGGCTCAATGTTAAGAAGACAAAAATTCTCACCACTGGACCAATCGGTAGCATCAGGATGGATGGCGAAGAGATTGAGATTGTTCACAGCTTCAGTATGCTCGGCTCCACAGTCAACACTCTTGGCACCAGTAGCCAGGAAATAAAAAAACGTATTGCGATGGGAAAGTCTGTGGTTAAGGACCTCTCCAAAATACTCAAGAACAACAGTGTCTCTCTGGAGACTAAGGTCCGCCTGATACAGGCCATGGTTTTTGCAATCACTTGTTATGCATCAGAGAGTTGGACAATGACTAGGGAGGATAGAAGGAGAATTGACGCCTTTGAGCTGTGGTGCTGGAGAAGAGTATTGAATGTACCATGGACTGCCAAGAAAACAAACAGATTCATCGTAGAGAGGATTAAACCAGGCTGCTCCTTGGAGGCAAGGATTCTGGGGCTTCGCCTAACATACTCTGGACATGTTGTAAGGAGAGACAGGTCTTTGGAGAGGGACATCATGCTGGGCAGAGTGGAGGGACAGCGCAGGAGGGGAAGACCCTCTATGAGGTGGATTGATTCAGTGACTGGGGTACTCGGGATGGGTTTGTCAGGGGCAGTGAGACTGGCACAGGATAGAGCACAGTTTAGGGCTGTTGTACATTGGGTCGCTATGAGTCGCAAACGACGTGACGGCACATAACAAGAACAACAACAACAACAACTGTCAAACTGAATCTGACTGGTGGTACAGGAGGAGACTGTCCCTCCTTCTCCAGCAGAGCATCTAGTAGATTTGAACTGCATACCTCTGGGATTGAAGTGCAGCTTCTTTCCACTAGGCCACCAGAGCTCCCAGAAAGTAATTTTTTTTTTTTAAAGTAAAATATTTAAACCAGGAAAATCACTGGCCATCTTGGCACAATGTTTTCAAAACCCAGTATAAACAAAATTCAGTTACTTTCAGTACTCTTCCTTCTAAAATATGCATTTTTTTTACTATCTTCAAATCAATAGAAGTAAGCATGCGTAACTAAACTTGTGTTGTTGTTAGGGGCCACTGTGTTGCCTCCATTCGTAATGACCATACAGATGGAAACCCTCACCATCCTCACAATCTCTGCTTTTGTGTGAAAGGTCACTGCTGCAGTCACTGTGCCCAATCATAGGTCTTTAAAACACAGAAACTTTGCCTCGGGAGTGATTCTAATTTTGTCAGCCAATAGAGGGACAATGATTTCTTCCAAAAAGAGTATTTTGCTTCCATCTTTAGGTTTCCTTGGAACAAAGACCAAAATGATAATGAGACCCTCAATTGTACCAATAAAATACTGTGACAAATAGTGAGACTCAAAAGTACATTTTTACATACTTTGAGAAACTATATTTACCTTTAAACACTTGGTTTATTGTTGCTGTTATGTGCCGTCAAGTCACCTACAACCCCCATAGTGACCCTATATACAGCAGATCTGAACCCTGCTCTGTCCGGAGCCAGTCACACTGCTTCCTTACATCTTAGAACACATTTAGAACTTTAAAATTGTAAAAGTTACTATAAAATTATCCATGGTTAGTCCTTGATTTATACCTGGTTTTCTCTTGCCATTGTACTCAGATCATCCTGCAATCTTCTGTTTTCCTTCAAAGAGATATCTCTGGATCTTCCTGTGTCTTCAAGTTCTTTGTGGGCTGTATCAAGCTGGCGCCGGAGGCTGCTTATCTCATGATCTCTATTAGTCAATGTATCTTTCAGATGGCTATTAAATGAGTGAGATGGGAATAGTAAATGATTCTTTTTGAAAGACTATGTTGTTATATGTCATAAGTGGACTACTTGAAAGACTATAGTTCACTGAAAAAAACGGTTTTGATCTTAATGAAACTAAAAATAAAGAATTCATAACTACTGCATTAAATCACTTATTAGATAAATCAAATCTTTTTAGGTCTCTAATAAGAGTAAATGCAAATTAGTAATCAAATACATGAATCATCCTATAAGTCAAATGAACATATTTTATGTGTTATTCTGTAAGTCAAGTAAACAAAGTATTTTCAAGAGCTCAGAGTAGAATATAGTAGAGTAACTGACAAATATTTAGTACATGTTTATACCTCATTTCCCATCATGTAAAAAATATTGTAAGGATATCTAAACGCAAATGCAATTAATGACTTTCATCTTGAAAAGCTTATAAAATCTTTCTGGAGACATAGGGATAAAATGTGAAATTTTGTACTGTTGTTTCAAGTTTAGATGGACAATACATTTAAGAATAGCAACTAAAGTAGCCCAGGTTTCTGTGATTAGAGCTCTAACCGGGTAAGCAGAAGTAAAGAGCAAGCAGGCATCTAAAAAGGAGCCCTGGAGACACACTAGTTAAGGACTCAGCTGCTAAATTATACTTTAGTGATTTTCATGGAAAAAAAGAAAAAAGAAAAGAAAAAAAAAGATCTGGTGATCTGCCCCCATAAAGATTTCAGCCCCTAAATCACCAGGCAGTCCTTTGACCCTCTTAGAAAACAGGGTTGCTAAGAGTTGAACTGGCTTGATGGCACACAAAAGAAAAATTATTAGGTGTGGATTACAGAGAAAGAGAGAAAGTTAAAAAGGATAATACATTTTTAAGCCAAGATGACGAAGAAAGTAAAATTTACAAAATGGCATAAGGAATTTGCAAAAGAAAATATCCCCACTGCAGGATTGTTAGTTAAATATATTTGTACTCAACAAATATTTCCAAGTTGTCATTTCATGGGCTACTTACTTTAGAGATGAGTCATACTCTGACATGGTTACCTTCATATGAGCAATAGTTTTTTCCTATAGAAATTAATAAAAGAAGTGAAATTCTGAACTGTTCACATAGATTTATCTTTAGTATAGTGTATAAATCTTATTGTGTCTATTCACCTCATATGCAATTACATCAACTATGCCATAGAAGAAAGCTCCAAGTAAAACTAATTTTACATTCCAATTTTACTTCTCACTTCATTCAGTATGTTCTCATCTACTCTTAAGTACTTGAATGATTTCCTGTGATGAGATCTGATGAACAAAACTGTAGTGTAGCTTGGATAACTTTTTAAGTTTCAAATTACTGGGATAAAATGTATTATTAACCTTTAAAAAATATGTTTCTCCTATAACATGGAGAAGCAGAGCAGCTGGTGGACTCAAATTGCTAACCTTTTGGTTAGAGCAGTCAGTACACTTCAGAAACAGAACCACTAGGGATCCTTTAAGAAAATAGAAAAGCTAGAGAAAAATTTAATCAATATGAAATATATAAACCTAAATTTAACAGGCTAGGAATTTAATATAAAAAGTATATTAGAAGTCTTGGATCTCAGGAACCTAAGACTTGAGAAAGAACTACCTAGTCACATACTTTATTAGCTAAGTTTTCTTCTAAGTTTGCAATTTTTTCTGTCTTTTCATCGACAGTCTCTTGAAGAAAGTCTTTTTCTTTATCCATAACACTTATGGTCTTTTTCATGACATTAGTCTCCTGGTCCTGTGAAGCTACCTTAAGGGTCATCTTATCTAGAAATGAAAAGAAACATTTGTTAAGAGTAAATTAGGGTTGGTAAACATAATTAGGACAGTAAGAAACTATAAACACTTACCTAATTTTTCCTCCAGTACTCTAATTTGTCCTTGGGCTGAGTCCAGTTCACCTCTTTTTAAGATAAGTCGATGTTGATGGTCATCAAGTGACCGCTGCAGCTGCTCGTTTATCAGCCTACAGAATCAATGGATAAAGACAAATGGTATTCTTGACTGCCAACCTTTAAAATGAGAGATCTTAAACAATTTATTTATATTTTAAGGCTCTTCCTGAATAATCTATGGTATTATACTGCATACTATTTCTAGCTCACTCACTATTCTAATATTAGAATGTTTCCCACTATTTTTCAAGAGATCTACTTTCCCCAAACTATGACTATATGAAAATTAATTTAATTACATATTCTGTACTAAACGACTCCTGGTAACTTTAAAGCCACTTTTGGTCTCCTAATATTATAAAGTAATCACTGCAAACTCCTCTTATCTTAAACATGTTTCAACAGTGGAGGCAAAGAAGTGGCAAGGTTTGACTTATACCAAGGTTTGACTATTCAAAGTATTATCTGTAAATTCTAACCAATCAGTTTTTAATTTTGTTTCTCCCTAGTTTTGTTCTGCCCCCTTCTAATCTTAACATTTTTGGTAGACAGTCAACTAGAGGTCACAGAAACAAGGGAAGCAGGTGTGTTTCTTGTCAAATAACAGAAACTTAAGACTAAAGATGAATTCCAGGGAGCAAAAGAAAAGATGTACTGAGGCGTAGTTTTTTTTTTTGTTTTTTTTTTTTTAAGAAATAATGTCCCTAGAACCTGTAACATCAAGAATTTGCTCTCATGTCACCTGGAGTCTTCAGAAAGCTTTTTTTCCTTGACCAAGGCATTCTTAAAGTTGCCTTGCTGGGAACAAATGGTTCTCCTTCAGGCTCTCCCAGATTCATTTCAGGTTTTGTTTGAGGTTAGAATAAATAATATCTTAAAGGCTACACTTAAAGCTACCTAACAAGTAAAAGGTTTAGATTATGATACCATTACTAAGACAATCTGAGGAATTATAAATGACAAAGATATGGCCCTGAAGGTTCTAAAAGCAAACAGATGAAAACAATAATATAAAAAGCAAAGTCAGATCGAGATCTATGTCTTTAAAACTATTCAAGCGCATATGATCATCTTTGCAAAAAATAGGAAAACTAGTAACATGTGTAGGAATGTTCAAAAGGGGAAGGGATGGGAACAGGGGAAGAGTGGAAACCACTGGGAAAGCAAAGTGTTGCGGATGGATGCGGAGGTTGTGAAGGAACAGGAAGATTCAAGGGCAACTCAAAAGACAGGCAACTACAGGCACAGATCAAATAGGAATTGATTATAGAAAATATAATTCATATAAGACTGTGGAACACAATGTAAATGAAAGACTATATAAAATACAGTGTATATATTGAAACACAATGTATAGGAATTAATGCATGCAATTAAATTTTAAAACCTTTATGTAACAGTAAAAAAATAGAATTTTTTAAATTTGGAAAAAACCCCCCAATACACAAAACCCCAACAAATATAAAACACCTCAAGTAAACTGTTCAATCACACAGATTCTCAGGACACTTGGTTCAAAGAATTTCCTTCATAAAATTGTTTGAGAGTATCAAATGACTGCACTGTATTCAGCTGCTTTTTTTCTCTTTTTTTATTTGAGACAGTCATTTTAATATTGAAGCATTTTAGAACAGGACTCTTATGGCATGTTTCAATTTCCATACGATTATTTGGAACACTACTTAATGCATACAAGAGACATTTTTAACTCTCATCCAAATCTTTTTTAAAATTTTTTTTATTATTAATTTCAGTAAAAATTTACAGAGACTTTGGATTTCCATTCATTCATTGTTGCACTTTTCTCCCCTCCCAACCCTCCCCCCTAGTACACTACCCTCTTGGAAAAGTAAA